GGGGGGGGAGGCGGGGCCGAAGCGCAGCTCGGCGGAGTTCGGCTCCGACCATCTCGGCTGAGGAACGCGCGCGGCGCGGTAATTCGAACTGTAACCTAACTATGAAGAGACAGAACTAAATGAATTCAGAAATAACATTATTTTCAAACCATGCTCTATTGAGAGAGAAGTATCACTCGCAAACTGTGTCTACGTCCCTCTTCATACTAACTTTGTCTTCGACCCTACAAAACTTAAAAAAGTTTATGCGACACAGAACACAACCAAACTCATTTTACGGATAAATACGCGGTAAATACGTAATTAATTGTGAATTCAGATTTGAAATTATCTATATACTTCTGCAAGTAATGCGTCCCGTGATCTCCCACTGAAATATTATAGACTGGAATAATTCTTGAATTCGTATCATCTGCTTTCACGATCCGTTCCTAAACGGATTTTTTTTTACTTCTGTTTTTATCAAATTTTTCTGTAAATATTTCAATTTTCCCCAATTTTTTTAAATCAAATTCTTGAGCTTATTCTCGTTTTCGAACTCAATCTCTCTTGTCATAGCACAAAACGACCCTGAAAATCTCAGGTCGGTAGCTCAATTCGTTCGAGTTATCGTCGCACAATCGTCGGACAAAGTTTTTTCCGACCAGACAGAGTAATAGGCTTCGCTAATCAATCGCTCAGCCAAAAAAATAAATGTAAAATTGTACTAATTTTTTCGACTTGGAGACCCGAAGGGTAAACGACTGTTAAACTATGTGTCAGCTGGATTACGGTTTACACGGATTACCTCGGGAGTATCCCCCAGATAACTTTGCTTTTCCGTTAAGATTACCCCGCAATACCCCAAAATTCACCCAGATTATTCCGGATTTTTTCGAATTTCCTCCGGATGATAGAACAAGTCATTGTGGTTGCAACGAGCACACACTCACCTCTCTGCGATACGCATCGCCTTTATCGTGTCGTGTCACTTTTCGCGTGGTTTGCAGGTACCTTGCTAAGGGAAATTTGCAAAATAAACGACATATTTGGCCTCCTAAAACCAAAAAATATTTTTGAGAATTTTTTGGGGGGTGGGATTTGTTTAGTCCTGTCCCCTGACCACGTTCTGGAGAAACCAGAGCTCCAAATGTAGTATTCACAAAAATAAAGCGAAAATGCGAAAAATCGTGAGTATGGAAGTTACACAGGGGAAAGGAAGATGTACGGAGGTTAGATTTCTACAACTAAGGCAATGAACGTTGGATGTCTAGCCGCTATGATCGAACATCCTTTTCTGTGCTTCTGTTGGCATCTGAGGGAAGGTGAGCCAACCATTTGGGTGGACCTAGTGGCTAGGGTGTTAAAAAAAAAGGCATATTCTTGAATGGACTTCACTCGCAAGTTTATGACTCGATCTAAATTTGTGCCCAATTTGACCCATCTCTGATGTTGGGAACCATCCGCGCCTCTCCCCCAAAGTTTGAATTACATTTGACAGAGAACTGTCGAAAATGTCGCACACAGTCGCAGTCAGTATTACTTTGTGTCAAATTTCAGAGCGCTCTGATGGAGACAGCGATCTACAACGCCCGCCTCTCTGAATTTAAGAGCATATTTGACGAGGGCAGGCCTCAAATTCCGCACAAAGTAACTCTCTCAAACTGATAAGAGGGGAGCACTAACTTTGGCGGTAAGGCGCGGATGGTTCCCCTCATCGGACAGGTCTCAAATTTGGCACAGCAGATTCAGATCGAGTCATGAACTTTCCAATAAAGTCTTCTCAAGCATGTGTCATTTTTTTTAACACCTACCGATGGCCCGCCTACGACTGGTACGACCCGCCCTTTTGAACGGACCCGTTAGGGTCGTTTCTATTGGAGAGAGCGGTGCTAGCCACCCTCGTCCTCGCGTGGGTCGTTGTCGAGACAGTAGGTAGACCAACGTAGACATGTGAGCAAGTCTAGCTGCCAGTGGCACTGGCCTGCGCAGATCGCCTTCCGGATCGCTGTAGCCCAGTGGTCACGTGGGTGACAAGTCAAGTGTCAAGGCGATCAGGCTACGCTCACGCAGTCGAGCGGCAGGTTTGAAGATCCACACGGCTCAGATACGCGTTTGGAGACCCACGTAAGTTCTTTGCTACGGCATCGGAACAACATGGGTCTTGAAACGCAAGTCTGAATGCAACATTTCGGAAAAGTTAAAACGAAGAAGAATGCAGGGAAGACGAAAAAGGAAGTCACCATATTACAGCGTAGCGATTTCCGTTTTCTTCTGCCTCGCGTTCCTCTGCATTTAGCCACAGGAATGCTTTATTGTGTGGGTATCGAAACGTGCCGCATAACTGCGTGAGTATCCAGCAGTGTGTTTTAGTGTATAAGCTATTTCAGAGAAATGGGAAAGAAGAACAGCACGAATAACAAGGTGGCCCGTGATTCGTCGCCCGGTTTCCCCCTCCAACTGAGCGACGAATCACAGGCCTCCTTGTTATTCGTGCTGTTCTTATTTTCCATTTCTCTGAAATAGCTTATTGTGTCGCAATCCTCGCTGGCTGGGCGATCGCTTTACCTCCTTTAAAATTATTGCAAAATGTCAGAAACGTGTTGAGAGCGTATGTGCTCAACGGTACACGAACATTTACAGCAATATGGTGTGCATTGTGCGATACTTCCCATGATCATGTATTATTTTGATTGCAGCCGACCATTTGGTCTTAGGGACCGTTCATATACTACGTAGTTCATTTTGGGGGGAGGGGGGGTTCAGCCTTGCACTACGGCCGGTCAGGGAGGGGGGGAGGGGGGGTAGACGCTGGTCACGTAGTTTTCGTCATATTCCTGTTTTGCGCCAGCAAAACACCGCGTTGTCTGCTCTAATTCGTTCAAGTAGACCCCTTTCGACTCAAATTGTGTCCGTTTGGGAGCTAGAGTGGGTTTTTCGCCGAAAATACCGTGAAAATGACCACGCTGTACTTAAAGTACAAGGAGGCGCCAAATAGGAAAATGACAGAGGAAGTACCCCCCCGAAAGAGCAGATTCTGAATCGACAATTGTCCTCGGATTCGCCGTATCTTTAAAATCTCTTAAGCTATTCTAGTTTCACTGTTGTTCCAGTTCGTAAAAAAAAAAGGAATAAAGAAAAAAAATACAGAAGAAAATAAATAATGCCTGCCATATTTGTTGATGTAATATATATCTCGTATTTTACCTCAAAAATGCATAAAATGTCTTTTTCTAGCTTGTGCGCTAATGTTTAGATGGAAATGCGCAAAATATGTTTTTACTACGTGACCGGTGGGGGGGAGGGGGGGGGGTTGGCTCAGTACTACGGTCGGTCACGGAGGGGGAGGGGTGGTCAAAAAATGCCCAAAAATAAACTACGTAGTATATGAACGGTCCCTTATCCACATTGACTACGCCTCTGGTACCCTCGACCGCTCTCACAAGGACTCTTCTTCATTCTGGATTAAAATGAGAGAGACAAACTCTGTGCCCTTCGTTGAGCCGGACAAGGCCACCACTCTGTCCCCACCAACAACTGCTCTTAGAACGTCCACTAAGGCACCTTCTACAGCAGCACCAAGCAGCAGCACTTGTACAAGTAGCAGTATGACTGTTATACTGCTTGGGGTTTTAGGGCTTATGAGGGCTCTTTCACGCTCTCCTATGTAGTTCATCCATCGTATTGACGATGATTGTTCAATCATTCAGGAAATTTTAGGCTTAGCCTTCGAGCCGTCCTCTTTGGATTTTTCACAATTGCTGTATAAGCTTCCAACAAATAAATCGGTTGGAACCACCAACTGCCAGGTACCTTTGCTGTCGAACTCATAAATAAAAACCTTAACAACTGGAGGAGTATTTTAATATGCCGTACATCGTTAACTGTGTGTGCCACAGTCTGTACAACATAAACAATTTTTGCCAAATTAATTCCTTTTAGTTTATTGATGTTAGATAACACAACTATAGAAACAAACATGTTCCCTCAGGGACGTATAATGAAAGCAGATGATACACACTCGGACACTCGGACCAGTTTCTTCCTTGAGTTTCGGTTCATCACGTGAAACAAGCTAGGCCCGCTCTACAGCTTTCACGAATGTCCAAAGAGAAAATGGCCAGTGCAATTTTGTCCCCATACCTAAATAGGCCGTCTAACTGGGGCCAATGTGGTAAAATGTCAAGTGAAACATGGGCCAATGTAATATTTAATGTCCAAAATTTTAAGCTCAAAGAAAATTACTGGGTACAAAGTGCACAGATTACAAAGATCTACTCTTGGATTTTTATGTTGAAGGTAACTGCCTCCAAGTACAACATGACCTCATTCCTCTCCTTATAAGCTTCGTAGTTGTTAGCCAGATTGTGGAGCCGCCGCTGACATATCTCGTATTTTTTGTTAACTAACTGCTTAACGTTGATGAGGGAGAATAGTTTCGGATTTAATTAACCAGATTTTCCTCGTGTTAAATTGGCGTTCCTTGCCTTGGTTGGGGACAGGTTGCTGGAAAGGCAAGTGGTTCGTAGATTGCGTGCCACTCTTCCAGTAGCTTGTCCCCAGTAAGGTCGTTTATTCTAGTTGCCTTGTAGGCTGCCATCATAGAGTCTATTCTGGTTAACGTAACTTAGTGTACTCAATGCGAGTTTTATGTCTCCTTAGGGTC